ATGTTCTGCCACTGTGCTATTGTTGTAGCTAATCGTTTTAAATTCCAGTGAGTCCCTGGCTGGGTCACTGAAGGGCCTGCTGGCCTTATGTTTGAAGATCATTAATCAAGGGTTAGAAACAGCTATGATCCATGAATCATTGTCTCTTCCCCCTGTGAGGTCTGCAGAGTAAAACTGTCCAATGGAGGATGGGACAGAAGCATGGAGGCTTTGAGAGCTTTAGAACATGAGGCATTTAGGCGCTGGAGTTAGAAGGGAGTTGCCTTTCTCCTCCTCAGACTAAGATCAAATTAAGATATTGTTTATAGAATGACTTTTAGCTTTTTTAGACAAGGATAGAGAACAAAAGGGACAGCCACAGTCCTCATTTCTTAGCTGTATGTGGATTATCTCTGGGAAAAACTCATTTTAATATTTCCCTATGCTAAGTCTTTAGAGAAATGTAAATGGGATGAGAAGCAGGTTTATATGCAATTGTATGATAATAACTTGGATTATTTGTGCTTTTGTGAGTCTTTCTGTTTCTGCACCCCTCCTTTTGAAATGGATGGATGGTCAGCAATATATTGATCCATCCCGGACAGTTTTATTCTACAGCTCTGTCCATCTTCCTTGTCATCATGGTTTTGAAGTCCCCTGGCTGCAGTGTTGGCATACAGCCTGAATAGGCTCAGAGAGTAACAGTGGCCACTGTCCCTGCCTGATTTAGAACCTCAGGTCTTGCCCTCTGAGTCACAGCCACTTAGCCAAATAGCCCTGGGGAGAGGGGATTCCATTAGTGAAAGGGACTGGGAGTCATGTACTAGGTAAGCTGGCACCCGGGATCAGGGCACTTGAAATCTTTCAATCAAGGCAACTAGTACTACTCCAGGTTATGCAAGAATCATGCCTAAAATCGCATCATCCTTCAACCCACCCATAGGACAGACCTGGAGGTGGTATGTACTATTTGCAAACTAATATACCACTTTTTCTTTTCTTTGATTTTCTGTTCTCCCTATTTTTCCCAATCCCCACGGTTTGAACTTAAGCTTATGGCCCATTGTCTTTTCTCTCTCCTTGAGTTTCTCCCAAGCTGGTTTTAGCTTGGTGGGACAAATCAGAGAAAGGTATAGTGTGTGTACTTCTCCTTTGTGTTTGCATGTGTGCACCTATGAGTGCTTATGCTCACTCTGTGCAGAGACTTCCCAGCCTCCACCACAGGACCTGGAGCTACCTCTACCCTGAGCTGAAAGAGGAATCTTTTTTTTTTTTTTGAGATGGAGTCTCAAACTCTATCACCCAGGCAAGAGTGCAGTAGTGCAATCTTGGCTTACTGCAACCTGTGCCTCCTGGATTCAAGCAAGCCTCCTGAGTAGCTGGGATTACAGGCGCCCACCACCACACCCAGGCTAATTTTGTGTTTTTAGTAGAGATGGGGTTTCACCATGTTGGCCAGTCTGGTCTTGAACTCCTGACCTCAAGTGATCCACCCACTTCAGCCTTCCAAAGTGCTGGGATTATAGATGTGAGCCACCATGCCCAGGTGAAAGAGGAATCTTGGCTGCGACCCTATCATCAGCTAGGGAACAGAGAGGCTATGGGTCAGAAATATGTGGCTGAAATCTTGGTGCAAGGAAGCACTTGTTTTTATCCCACCATAGTTTTTCATATGCACACAAGAATACTCAACCTTCCACACTTCCATCCATCTGCCCTTCAGCAGAGCTCCTAGAAAGGCAGGGCATACCTCTGGATTTTCCCTCCTGGTAATTCTAAACCAACCTTGCCTGGAAGTGGGAGCCTTATCTATGTGGCCCAGACTTAAATAAAGTCTCTTGGAAATACTCTCACCCTTCCCCCTTGTCTACCCTCCAACCCCTGTGAATCTTGTGAACAGAGGGTTGAAGAAACATATTCTGCACATGGGCTGGTAGCTGTGAATCTTGGTGTCCTCTGGACCCTCTGTGCTAGCACATCATGGCAAAATTGCTCTGGATCCCTTGGAGCTGTGGGGTGACTTACCAGCCACTCAAGGTAGAGGCAAACAAGCCAGGCTGCCTGAGGGACCAGGAGCAGCCCTGCCTCTTCTCTTGCAGGAGGAAGTGACAATGGGGCTGTACTTAGGTACTTCATCATTCCTTAAACTCACCTTCTATACATCTCACCTACAGTCGTTATCAGACTTCCCACCTGATCACTCTCATCGTGACCGATTCTGTCATCAAAATGTCTAATTTTTCACAGCTAGAGAAACCAAGAGATAGGAAGACATGGGCCATGAACTAGTAATGGGAACTCCACTCCTGAGAATTATTGACCCTCTATCAGCTACAAGTCCTAGGAATCTCTAACTTCTGCTTCATGTTCTGCCATTTCTAATAGCTTTCCCGCCACCTCAGCCTTTTCTCCCATTTCCTGTTCCATGCCACTGGCTTGTAACATCTAACTTCTAATTCTCAGATGATCTTAAACTGCTGCTGTTAATGGCAAAGCTTCATGACATCCTCACCACCAGAGGGAAAAGGGTCTCATGCTCTTCTTTCTCTTGGGGTATATGATGACCCCAGCTGAAATTTCTTGGCCCCAAAATTTCGCTAGGCTCCCCTGGGGCCCTGTGGTGCAGTGTGTTTGAAGACTGTCATGTAGTGCATGTGACAATTTGCTAATAACAATTTTGTCTTTTTTTTCCCTCCCTCATCCCCATTCCCCCACTCCCTTTCCTTTTAACTCTTGATTTTCTCACCTCTGGGGAAACCACAAGGAGCTGGTAAGAAGCCTGACCTTTCATCTGCTTTTTAACGGGGTGTGCTGTGATGAGCAGTTGTTTCTCTGTCCTTCAGACTCTACTAAATCTTTCATTCCTCTATCCACTCCTGCACCCAACCTTTTCCTATCTCACAAGTCACTGTAATTATACTGCCCCCAACTCATGCCTCAGATCTTCAAGACACTGCTGGAGTGGGTGCTACTGGAGGACTAGATTGTGCCCCCGGGCAACAGCCTTGGAGAGGCTCCAGAGGATGCCAGTGCCAGGTAGCCCAGCTGGCCCAGGACGCTCCCACAGCAGGGATGAAAATGCTGTCTGTCCCTGGGACGACTGTCCAGAACCTCTGAGACTTACCGTCTGTGTGTGGACCCTCTTTTACTCCCTGCTTTCCCTACTTAAGAACATAAATAAGAAAGTAGGTTCCCATCTGCATAGTGCCCTCCCATAATAAGGGCTTAACAAATGGTATATGATTGATTTTTTTTCTGTGTCTCTAAGTTATGCCTCCCATTACTCTTTTTTAAGAGGATTAAACAAAAGAGGATGGGTGGATTGGCCTTGATTGGGGCTTTCACAGGGAGAAATGACATATTCCCGTGTATGAACTTCAGAGAAGATGGCTGTCTATCCTGAGCCTGAGCCCTTCTCAGTTTATAGAGGCCAGAGACCACACAGCTATTAGATGGGTGGGTGTTCTGGCCATAACATTTCAGAACAGGTTAAGAGATAATCATCTGGGACTCAAATGTCTCTTCCCCCAGGCACTTGCATATGGGACATTGAGTCTTTTGTTTTTCTCTAGATCTATAGCTCTTCCCCCTCTGCCCAGTAATTCCCTGAAGAAGAGGTAAAGATCAAAATTGATACTTTGTCCTTTCCTCTTCTCTTCCCTTATTTTTAAAGCTGCCACCCACACTGATTCCTGCTGTGACTAATAGCAGAACAGAGATGAAGGAAGGAGCTTCCTTCCACCTGCTTTTCTTTCTCAGTGTTGTCCCACCATGTCACCCTCACACCTTCTCCCTACATACCTACACATAGGCAGAGATTCTCAGTCCTGGCTGTAGGTTAGAATCACCTGGATATCTGGCCCTACCCCAGAATAATTTATCAGAATCTCTAGAAGTAAGCCCAGGCCTTTTTTTTTTTTTTTTTTTTCTCTCTCTCTTTTCCTTTTTTTGAGACAGGGTCTCACTCTGTTGCCCAGGCTGTAGTGCGGTGGCATGATCTCAGCTCACTGCAACTTCCACCTGCCAGGCTCAAGATCTTCCACCTCAGCCTCCTGAGTAGCTGCGACCACAGGCTTATGCCACAATACCTGGCTAATTTTTCATATTTTTTGTAGAGACAGGGTTTCACTATGTTGCCCAGCCCAGGCTGGTCTTGAACTCCCGAGATCCACTGACCTTGGCCAAACTTTGGGACTACAGACAGGCTTGAGCCACCATACCTGGCTGTCTCTTTTAAAAAAAAAAAAATAGCTTTTTCTTTGAGACAGAGCTTTGCTCTGTCACCAGGTGCCAGGCTGAAGTGCAGTGGCACAATCTCGGCTCACTGCAACCTCCACCTCCTGGGTTCAAGCAATTCTCCTCCCTCAGCCTCCCAAGTAGCTGGGACTACAGGCATGCACCAGACTACACCCAGCTAGTTTTTGTATTTTAGTAGAGACAGGGTTTCACTATGTTGGCCAGAATGGTCTTGATCTTTTGACCTTGTGATCCACCTGCCTTGGCCTCCCAAAGTGCTGGGATTACAGGCGTGAGCTACCGTGCTTGGCAAAAAAAGCATTTTCTAAGTGATTCTAACATGTAGCCTGGAGTGAGAACCATTGTTGTAGGTGAAAGAAGGAAGACTCATTTGCCTTCCTCCTGTAGAAGGTGGAGGGAGATGCCATCCCCAATAGAAAAGGACTCCTGAGTCTCCCTCCAGCTTCCATCAGTACTCTGCTGGGAGCTGTTAGGCTTCTGACAATTGAAAAAGGGGCATGCAGTCAGGAGTGCCCAGTCTCGGTGTTGTTACTAGAATCTGAACAGCATGTAGATATCTAGTAAGGAGGGAACCTCTTTGCTTCAGTTCCTAGGGTGAAGTCTCTTTCACCACCTACTGTGTCCCCTGTTTTTGGAAGAACTTAAGTGCTTAAAGCACAGCAGAGGAGTCAGGGAGAAAAATCAGGTGCTGCAGCTTCTCTGAAGACATGCTGGGCTATCTCCATTTCAGGGCTTACATGTGGCCCTTGCCCATGGGTACTCTTGGCAAGCAGATATTGCCTATGTTTGTTGCTTGTAAGATGTCCCATAAAAATAATCCAGTAAACCCTTGCCCCTTCTCCCTCTCCCTGAATTTTCTGGCCTCATGGCAGCCTAGAAATCAGGCTTCTGGTCAGGACCTCTGTTGACCTTCCTTTGTACTAAGAGCTTGTGTCTTACCTTCAGCAGGTTTAAAGTCCTAATATTCACACTCAGGGTTAGTGTCCTGATTATCTGCCTTCCCTCCTCTTTCCTTCTAGCAAGGACAGGAGGTTAGCATTAAAATGGACTTGCTCAGCGGGCAAGGAGATTTACTTTTGGGAGGGGGAGGTTAAAAAAGGTCAGGTTGGTTTCTTGCCTTGAGTGCATGGTGTGTGCCAGACAACTGGGAGGGTTAAGGTGGGGGGATGGGAAGGCTTATGTACAGAGAAGGTGGGGAGGTTATGCTCCAGTTGAATGAGGGTGTTAATATTTATACAACTGAGGCTCCAAATTTACCAGGAAGCTTCAATTTCCTAGGTTGAGCCTGGGTAGGCACCTTGGAATAGAGCTGCCCTTCTTTCCCCTTGGACAAGTAGGGCCCAGTCACCTAATGGTATGGGGATTTTGTGGGTTAGAGGAAGTTCTAGAGTGAGACTGAGTCTGCCCCTGGCCTAAACTACCTGTTCTTGCAGGAGGAGCTGACAAGCACAAGTGTGGAGCACATCATTGTCAATCCTAATGCTGCCTATGACAAGTTCAAGGACAAGAGAGTGGGGACAAAGGGACTTGGTGAGACTGGGCTGGAAGTTGGGTAGGGGGAAGACTGGAGGATAAGCATGAGAAGTGGTTTCCTGTCCTCGGGTCTTAGTGACTTGCGCTGTGGGGAAGGGGTCCCTCATGGAGATCGTTTGTGGAAGCCCTCATAGTCACCTGAGACCATGACTGCCTTGGGTCTAGATCAGGCCCTCAGTTCCATCTTCTTTTCTTGGCAGATTTCTCAGATCGTATTGGAAAAACCAAGAGGACAGGCTATGAATCTGGAGAATATGAGATGGTTTGTTGTATGTGTGTGTGTGTGTTGATGGGAATGGTGTAGTGACCCTATCTAGCCCACATGTAGGAGAGAAATCTAGGGATACAGGTGGGATTCTGTTTCTCCTCTGTTCCTGAGGAAGCAGCAGGATGCAGCCAAGGAAACTCTCCTCCCCTGCTGTTTGTTCTGGAGAGCCTCCAGGCCTCTGGCTGTCCTCAGTTCTTTTGTATTAGGGTGTTGTGGATTCTCAATTGGATATGATACCTTTATGACTTAGGCCCAGGATGTGGAAGAATTCTTGAGGTTCCCTGTAATGAGATGTATAACATTACCCTCTGTACTTGCTCTCTAGCTTGGAGAGGGTCTAGGAGTGAAGGAGACACCCCAGCAAAAGTACCAGCGCTTACTGCATGAGGTCCAAGAGCTGACAACTGAAGTTGAAAAAATCAAGGTAACGACAGACTTTCTTCTCCCTTCTGTGCTGTGACTTACACAGTAGAGGAAGACCTCTAGCAAGAAGAGAAAGATTCCCTGGCCAGGCATGGTGGCTTACGCTTGTAATCCTACCACTTTGGGAGGCTAAGGCAGGTGGATCACCTGAGGTCAGGAGTTCGAGACCAGCCAGGCCAACATGATGAAACAAAAAATTAGCCATGTGTGATGGCACATGCCTATAATCTCAACTACTCGGGAGGCAGAGGTTGCAGTGAGCTGAGATCAGAGCACTGTACTCTAACCTGGACAACAGAGCTATACGCCATCTCAAAAAGAGAAAGAAAGATTCCGTAAGCTCTTGGATAAAGGGGCTAAGGTTTCCAGAGTTTAGGTATATTTATCCATCTACATCCAGTGCTAACATAAGGTGGGCAGTCTGCTATGCCAAATACCATCCCAGTGACCTCCAGCTACAGCTACCCTTAAAGGGCCTGACCTATTTTTTTGCTCTTGATTCATTCTTGCCACCCCCTGCTTTTTACCTTTTTTTCATACTAGACGACAGTGAAGGAGTCAGCCGCAGAGGAGAAGCTGACCCCTGTGGTGCTGGCTAAACAGCTGGCAGCCCTGAAGCAGCAGCTAGTTGCCTCCCACCTAGAGAAGCTGCTGGGACCAGATGCTGCAATCAACCTTACTGACCCCGATGGTGCTCTGGCTAAGTGGGTACCCTACTTTGCTGAAAAATCATTGCTGATTGGGGTTGTGGATGGACTCAGCCAGCTACTGACAGGGGTGCTAAGCGAAGAAGTGGCCTGGCTGTTTCTTAATGCCAAGGATAAGGCAAAAGTGAGGGAGAGTGACTGGCCCTCTTCCTTACATTCATAATATTAATTGATCTCCTAACTAGGCGCCTACTGCTGCAGCTGGAAGCAACAAAGAACAGCAAAGCGAGCTCAGGGGGAAAAACCACTGGGACCCCCCCAGACAGCAGCCTTGTCACTTATGAACTACATTCTCGGCCTGAGCAGGACAAGTTCTCTCAAGCTGCCAAAGTAAGTATGGATACAGTGTTGGTTGGGAAGCCAGGGAAGGCATGTCCCTAGAGATTTTCCTGCTTCTCTCCAAGGGAGGGGGTGCTGGGAAGGCTTCTGATTCCTGTTGATTCCTCTTCTGATTCCTCGGTCTCTACATTTCCCTCACGCGTCTACCTTAGGTTAGGATTTTAAGATTATGGCTAGGTATGTGTTCCAGGGAAAGGAGTCCCGTGTGGTGGCAAGTGGCAAGCAGAGTAGAGCAGGGTTATATTTCTCCCACTGCAGCAGCAGGGAGACAGATGGCAAATCTCACCTCCTTCCTCCCACTAGGTCGCAGAACTTGAAAAGCGCCTGACAGAGCTGGAGGCAGCTGTACGTTGTGATCAGGATGCTCAGGTCAGGTGCTCTCCTGTACATAATCTACAGAGCCTTAGATCCTGCAACTCATGGTCTAACACTTGCCACATAAGCCTGGAAGGGGTCATCCAAGGGTTTCAGTTATAGGGATCAGCTAGTGCGTTCCCACTTAGAACCAGGAAGGATGAGAGAAGATGATAATCATGGAGATAGAAGGACCACTGATGTCTTCCCTCCCTTTCCCACCAGAATCCCCTTTCTGCAGGTCTACAGGGAGCCTGTCTCATGGTGAGTTGGGAAGAAACTGGAGTGTTTCGATTACAGAGGGGATAATTGGGATTGGGTTTGCTTTGAGGGTTATTTTTGAGTTTGTAGCTATATATTAATTTAGTGGAATATGAGAGGCCTCTTCCTAGTCTGATCCTTTCTTCCTTGTGATGCTTGTCCCAACTCTCATCCCCAGGAGACTGTAGAGTTGTTGCAAGCAAAAGTGAGTGCCCTGGACCTTGCAGTTTTGGACCAAGTGGAGGCTCGGCTACAGGTATTAAATTGAGGGAAAATTAAATTACGGGTAGCTTGGGACTTTGGAAGCCCTGGATGCTCTATCAACCTTAAAATCTGTTGTTTTCAGAGCGTCCTGGGAAAGGTGAATGAGATTGCTAAGCATAAAGCCTCTGTAGAAGATGCAGATACACAAAGCAAGGTCCGGAAGACAGCTTCCCCATCTTCTTTCTACTCCCTCAGTTTTTCTGAGTGGCAATATCAAAGCATGAGAACACAATGAATCTTCAGGTCCCCATCTTCATACTCTTATCAGCTGGGAAAGTCAGGGCAGTGCTTCCCTCTGCCCACTTGACCCTTTCCCCCCCCCCCGCTCTGGTGACGTAGCAGTCTGTGCATACTGACCTGGCTGCCTCAGCTATCCCCTCTGGGCCCTATTGTGTCCCTTCAGGTGCACCAGCTATATGAAACTATACAGCGCTGGAGCCCCATTGCCTCCACCCTCCCTGAGCTGGTGCAGAGACTCGTCACCATCAAGCAGCTGCATGAGCAAGGTGGGAGGCCAGCTGCCAGGAGTGCTAAGAGAAGTTGAAAAATGGGCAACTTTTGGTCCCTCGCTTATCTTGGATTCTAGTCTCAGCCATACTTTTCTTTCTTTTGTAGCCATGCAGTTTGGTCAGCTCCTGACACACTTGGATACCACCCAGCAGATGATTGCTAATTCTCTGAAGGACAATACCACCCTCTTGACCCAGGTGTGTGTGCCCCTTTGTTGATCTGTCTCCTTTCTCCAGCATGTACAAACTAGGTTCTCCAGTGTTATAGGGTTCTGCTTTAGCCTATTTTTGTAGCATGGTGTTGCGGCAGAGGGTTGGTCTGGAGTCTCCATCCTATTTTCAATGTGAAGGCCCTTTGACAACTTATTTAACCCATGAACCTCCATCTTTCCATTTGGGAAATGATACCTCCCTCAGAGTTATATAGATGAGGTACATATGGGGAAATTGTTAGGAGCTAGTGAACATGTTTTCTTATAAAACCCCACTCTTTCCCTGTTGTCCCAGCTTAGCTTACTCTTCCTAATGAGCACAGTACGCTGGAAAGAATGCAGGCTTTGAAGTCAAAAGCCAAGCCCTAATCTGATTCTGTCACTTCCTTTCTGACCCTGGATGATGAGTCTCACCTAGTTCCATCGTTCTTTTAGTAACGCTTGGGACACAGCAAGTTCACAATTTCTTTTTATTATTTTATTATTTTTGAGACAGTCTCACTCTGTTGCCCAGGCTGGAGTGCAGTAGAGCGATCTCGGCTCACAGCAGCCTCCACCTCCCAGGCTCCCAAGTAGCTGGGATTATAGGCATGCACCACCACACCTGGCTAATTTTTGTTTTTTTAGTAGAAATGGGTTTTCACGATGTTGGCCAGGGTGGTCTCAAACTCCTCACCTTAAGTGATCCACCCTCCTCTGCCTCCCAAAGTACTGGGGTTACAGGCATGAGCCACCGCACCCGGCCGCAAGTCCACAATTTCTGTTGGAGGCACTGTTCTCAGTGCTGGAAGGACCATTAAATTCGAGAGACCAGTGTTAATCACAGGATCACTGAGATAAATGAAAAATTATATAAAGGACTTAATATCCTCTTCCTCCAGAGCAGTTTGCTAAAATTTTGAACCTGTGAAACCTTCAACAAAATCTTATTTAGCTCTCATTACATAAAACAGATTTTTTAAAAAACTGTTCTGGTTCTACCTCTGAAAAAAAAAAAGAAACAAAAGAAAAACTGTTCTGGGTGAAGTCAGAATGGGAATTCTCAAGAGTCCTGCTTGCTTGGCACACCCTGAGCTTGATCCCTGGTACTCTAAGGGTAGCCTGAAAATTGCTACTGTAAACATCCCCTCTCTTTGGCCCACAAACTGTGCTTCCATTTCTTTTTTGTCTTGTCTCAGAGAATTCCTTCAGGTCCTCATCCAGTTAAGCAACTGGACCCGACAAAGAGTAAAACCTCTCTACCATTTTGTAGGTGCAGACAACCATGCGTGAAAACCTGGCCACAGTTGAGGGGAACTTTGCCAGCATTGATGAACGGATGAAGAAGCTGGGAAAGTGAGCACATGTGGGAACTGGAGAACAGGGGTAATCCCTACCCCTGTGAACTCTGCTAACAGCTTACATAGGGTTTCCCTTTTACTGTAACTCTAGCATCCCCATCCCATTTGAGACTGGGGGCAAGGGTTCTTCTTGCATGTGGGGTTTATACCCCTCCCCTGATGAATACAGAGTGGTAGCTGGGGGTTGGTTATTAGAAGGTGGTCTCCCCTCAGGCCTGAGGGATGAGGACGTGGACCCAGCCACATGCCAGCTCATGTCCAATACTGCTTTGCCTGGTGTGGGGAAGGATTGGGTCTTGTCCTCCAACACAGCTTCTGTGGCTGACTATAATAGTGTACAACCATTTCTGACCATTAAATGCTGTTGTACTCTGTGTGGCCTCTGCTATGTTTCCTGGGGAGGAGGCAGCACTAGGACACAAATAGACATTCATAGCATAATAGGCAGTCTAAGCCACTCTATACTACAAGAGATGAAATTTAAATTGTAACCTGTTCTTACCAAAGAACTAAATTAAAAAATGAGTACAGAGCCAGAGCCAGAGTTTCAAAATATTCTCATCTGTTAAATTAAGAGTGTCTCCCATAGAAAAGCAGGGGAGGCCCCACAGGGCAAGTACAAAACAGAATTAAAACTCCCAAGGGTCTTGTCTTTACAAAAGAAAAGGCAGGAGGCAGCCCCTGGACAGCTGGTCATGCTGGCCGCTCTGGTTGGACCACGTTGCATAATCCTCAGTCGCATCATCACAACGTCTCTGAGCGTTTTGATGGGGGGAGAAGGGGCAGTGTAGTGTGTATGGGAGGAGAGGCCCAGAGGGCTCTCTTTGCCCCCTTACCCCCTTTTTATATCCCAGAGGAAAGGGGGGGAACCTGGCTATACCTTGAATTGAGGCTATGTGTTTCAAACCTGGGGACAGGGGTAAGAGGGGATCTGTGCTTTGAGCAACCTGAGCCAGAGGCAGAGGGGTGTTGGAGGGGTAAAGGGAGGATTCATGATGCTTATTGCTTTGTACCTTTCACTGGGAAGGAGGGCAGCAGCCAACAGTAGCTCACAGGTTTGTAAACTGAGCCTGTTGGCTTTAAGAAGGGAGGCAATGAAGTCGAATTAAATATAAAAGAGTCATTTGTGCAAAAATAACTTAAACAAATAAAAGACCTGGGGAAGGGGGTGTTCCCCTTAGCGCCTGGTGGGGAGAGGGCCATATACCACCCCCCCCCAGGCCTTTTCAGTGACATGGCTTCGGGGGGGGGAGGGGGTGAACTTCCCTACCCCCTGCAATGGCTCAGGATGGGATTGTAGGGGAAGGGGGTTGCATTTGTGCTCTGAGTGGGGAGTAGTGCCCCCACCCACTGTCCACAGGTGCAGGTGGCTGGCAAGGGCTCCCAAGGCTCAGCACTCAGCTCTCCCCAATCAGGGTCAGATCCAGCTCCAGGTATGGCTGCTATGGGGCCAGTTTCCTCCTCTTGTTTTTGGCAGGACGGCCAGGGCGGGCCCGGGGAGGCAGAGGGACAGCTGCCTAATACCAGATGGGAAGTTGAAAGAAATGGTCAATTGCTAGGTATCAGGAAGTCTTCTTTTCTCCCCACTCCCTCTAACCCTCCTTTCCTCCTGCTGCCTCATCCCTTACATCCTACCCATACACCCACCCACCCACCCACACACTTACTCGGGCTGTAGGGCTGGGTTCCAACATAATGTCCTGGCGGGAGCTATTGCTATTCCGGGTAGGGCTGCAATAAGGGCACAGATGATCAGGAACAGCTCCCAAGCACCAGGTGAATTTCAGAAGTTTGGGTGGGAAACTTTCTACATTTGGATAGTAAAGGCATAATATCCTTATTCATATTCAAGTGTCTGCCCTTTTGAAAAACCAAGCCGCTAATTGGACATTAGAACTGTCCAAACCAAAAAGTAGTAGGCAAAGGCCAGCACTGTAGTAGGCCTAACACTCACTTGTATTTTCTCCTCCGGCCTCGACGAGACTTTCTGACTACTCCCGGGGGCACCTGAGAAAAGATGGACTGTGTGTGTGGGAAAGTTAGAAACAGGCACCACAGCCCCAGCCTTTCCTCAGAGCCCCTGAGCCCAAAACACTATCACTCTACACTCACCTTAAGGTCCTCAGAATGGGGCCTGGGAGGGGATGGATCCTTGGGCTCAGCACCCCCTTCAGCCAGTTCCCCATTATGCTGCCAGTGGTGGGTTCTTCTTGGGGACCTTTCCATTTGTCCATTGAAGCCACCACGTGTCCCCCATTTGAGGGCCAGTCGGCCAGGCTCCCGCCGGCTGCCAGGCTTTCGGCCTCGGCCTGGCCTGGCCTCACCATTAATGCCCCTAAGTCCCCCTCCCCTCCGGCCCCGTTTCCCTGACCCCCTCCCAGTGAGCAGCTCAGGGACTGGGGGGTCGGGAGAACCGTGGGGTGGGGCTAAGGCACTGAGGGGAGGCCGGGCAGGCTCTGGTTCGAGGGCTGATGCGGGGCTCTCAGGGGGTAGACAGGGGGCTTCTGGCTGCTCTGGAGGGATCTGCTGGCAAAAAATAAGTTCTCAGTCAATCTCAAATACAGTCCGTCTTCCACTCTAACTCAAAAAGCCCTAAATTTCCAGTTTGAGAAAAAACTATCTCCCTGACAAATATATGCCCACACCCTCACCTGGAGACTCTGTAGCAGGCAGGCTAGGGGACTAGAAGCCTCTGAGAGGGGTGGAGGAGCTCCACCCCCAGGGAGGAGCTGCAGCCCCAACTGGCCAGAGAGAAGAGGGCCAGGAGGCTGCAACAGGCTGGGGAGGGCTCCAGGGCTGCTGGTCAGTGAAGACAGGTCACCTGTTAAGAAATTATAGTCAGGGGTCTCTCCCTAGGCAAACCAAGGCTGAGCACACCCTACTATTCTCGTTAGGCTTTATCCAGTGGCCATAGATTTTTTCCCCAATTTATTAAGCCTCTACTCCCAAGTTTTACTGCTGTTTTTTCACACCAAGAGAGTGAATTCACACTCCTCAGACTCACCCAGCAGGCTGGCACCCAGCAGAGGGCTAAGGAGTTGGGGGGGTCTCCCTGAGTTGGAGGGGGCCTTGCCCAGAGAGGAGGCCCCCGGGTCAGTAGTTGCCGTGGTGACACTGGAGGTAGGTGGTCCAGGTTGGGGGGCACTCAGGACACAGGGCTAAGAAAAAAGAATGATTCTAACACTTACATGTATAAAATACTCAACAAATTGATAATGCTTTCACATCCACTATCTCACTGAAGCCTTAAGTAAGATGGGCCATGCTTATTAAATACACCCCCAATTCTTACAGCCATCCTACCCCCAGCCAAGAACTAAGGCCTCCCCAAAGGCCCCAAGGAAGAACTCAGGAATGAAACTGAAAGCTTTTGATTCCCAGCTCCCATCTCTCATTCTACGTTTTGTTTTGTCCAACTTACTCACCCCTATCCTCACCTGGGGGGTTGTCCCCGAGGGGGGATCCAGGCTGGCAGCCAGCAGCGCAGAATTTAAAGCTATGAGGGTAGGGGGGGCTGAAAGTGGGGGGAAAAGTAGCGGGGGCAGGTCTCCCAAGCCTGAAAATGGCTCTCCACTGGGACCCCCGGCTCCCTCTGCAGATCCCTCCCCATCCCCAGCTGTGGGGCCCAGAGCCAACAGGGGCAGGAAAGAGGCAAGGAGGTTGCTGGGAGGTGCTGAAGGAGGTGGAAGAAGGTCTGAAGGTGGTGGAGGAAGCAAGGAAGCCACCAAAAGCGAAGGCCCTTCAGGCTCTCCTGGGGCTAGGGGAGGACCAGGTCCTCCTGGTGGGGGTAGCAGGGGCTCAGGGGGAGGTTGTCCTCCTCCCCCAGCCAGCACGCCAAATAAACTGTGGTTGAGCAATGGAGAAGGTGGAGGCTGCCCCAGACTCAGAGGGAGAGGCAAGGCCCCGAGCATCCCAGGGAAGCCAGCTCCACTCAGCGCCAGGCCCTGCTCAGGGCTGGGGAAAGGGAAAGCCTCTCCACCAGCCAGGGGAGGCAGAGGGCAGGCTGGGCCCGCCCCCATCCCCAGCCCTTCAGATGGGCTTTGAAGCACAGGGCTGGGGACTACGGGGGCTTTGGAGGCAGCTGGTGGGGCAGGGGCACCTGTAAAAGACGAGAGAAATTCAGCTCAAGGGAGGCCCCTTCTACCATGATCCAAAGAAGCCAGCCTCCAGCCCCCAACCCAGAAAACCCTCAAAGAGCTCTCTGAACATTCCCCTAAATGCCTTGGCTGCTTCTTTCCAGTCAGGATGGGGAAAAGCTCCACAACACTCACATACCTGGCACACTGCTGAGGCTGCCACTGGTGGTCCCAGGCAGGGAGGGCTGGATGGGGTGCCTGGGCTGGGGAGGGCTCCCTGAGGAGAGGGTTGGGGGAGGAGGAAGGTGTGCATCTGACCCCAAAAGGTTAAAGCTTCCATCAGAGTGGGAAGGGCCAGGGGTGGGGAGTCCCAGCAGGGACAGCACAGAAGGGAGAATTGGTTGGGATGGCTCCGGGAGAGTAAAGGGTTGGGGTACAGGAGCAGGGGCCCGAGGACGGCTCCGTCTAGGGGTTTGAGGGCCTCTCCCTTCTAGCAATCGAAATACAGTAGGGGGTCTGCGGGGACGACGCTGGGAGGGACGAAGTGATGAGTGAGAAGCTGAGGGCGCCTGGGCACGGGGCCTTCGGCCCTGTAAAGTGCTGGGAGGGAGTAGTGGGGGATGCTGTGCCTTGGCCGCTGCAGAGAGTAGGCTGCTAGCAAGGAAGGGGGGTGCCCCAGGCCCCTCCACTGTGGGGGCCCCTCCCAGGGGCCCCAAGACCAGGGGCAGGTGCATAGTGGCTGAAGACACTGGTGGCAGAGTGGCAGGACCAGGGTGGGCAGGGAGATTATTGCTCGGGGGCAGGGGAGGAGGTGTTAAGGCATCACTACAGTGGAAGAGAGGAGGGTCTGAAGGTGGAGAGGAGGAGGCATGAGGGGCCGGAGGAGAGCCCAGGTCAGAGGGCACCAGGCTGGATCTGAGGGCAGCTCCCCAGTTGTATGAGGGAGCATTGAGGCTGATAGCCGGTGGAGGAGGTGGGGCTGGAGAGGGGGCATTGCCCCTTGGGAGGAAACAGGGGCTGCTACTGCCCCCAGAAGGGACTGGATCAGGAAGCCTTGGTGGGAAAAGCCCCCCCGGGCCTGCTAAAGTGGGGAAGGCCTGGGAAACTGAGGGTGGTTCTGGGGGAAGGGAGCCAGGACCCCCATTAAGTGGAGTTGTAGGAGGAACTCGACAGGGAGGGCGGGCAGAGGGGGGCCCTGGGGACACAGTGTGGAACATTTGGGGGCTCGCTCCCTCTCCTGCAATAAATGAGAAATGAAGAGTCAGTCTGTGGCTCCCCTTCCAAAAACTTTGTCTTCT